GAATCGTGTTTTAATTAGATCAAATCTTAAGAAAACTCCTTATGAACTATTTTATGGCAAAACCCCTTTTATTGGATACTTTCGTATTTTTGGTTGTAAATGTTTTATCTTGAACACCAAATATCACCATGATAAATTTGATTCAAAAATTGATGTTAGTATTTTCTTAGGATATGCACCTAGAAGTAAGGCTTATAGGGTCTTCAACAAACAAACTCTCGTTGTTGAAGAATCTATAAACGTTATTTTTGATGAGACTAATATTGGTTTACAAGTTGTTTTGCCTAGGAAAGATGATGATATTGAGGGAGGATTGGAACTTCTGCAACTAAATGAAACACCCTCAATAGATGCACAAAAGGATGGGGAAAACAACAACATTCAAGAACAAGAAGAACTCCTCAAAGCATGGAAATTCGTACCAAATCATCCAAATGAGCAAATAATAGGAAATCCTTCACAAGGGGCTCTAACTCGCTCAAAAGCTTTGAGTGTAGTAATGTTACATTCCTATCTCAAATAGAACCTAAAAAGATAAATGATGCTTTAAAAGATGAGTTTTGGGTTCTAACCATGCATGATGAACTAAACAATTTTCAAAGAAATAATATTTGGAAACTAGTTCCTAGACCCAACAATGTTCATGTTATATGAACTAAATGAGTTTTTAGAAACAAACTTGATGAACATGGTATTGTGACGAGAAATAAATCTCGTTTAGTTGCCCAATGATACAATCAAGAGGAGGACATAGACTATGATGAAACCTTTACACCGGTTGTAAGGTTGGAATTTATTAGAGTGTTCTTAACCTTTACAAGTTTCAAAGACTTTAAATTGTTTCAAATGGATGTGAAAAATGCTTCTTTAAATGGTTTTATAGAAGAGGAAGTATATGTAGAGCAACCCCCGGTTTTATGAATCATACATTTCCTAATCATGTTTACCGGTTCAAAAAGCTTTATATGGGTTAAAACAAGCTCATAGAGCTTGGTATACTCGCCTCTCTAGTTTTCTTCTTAAAAATGGTTTTTTCTAAAGGAAAATTTGATAATACACTTTTTGTTAGAAAAAGGAAAAATAGTTTTATTTTAGTTCAAATATATGTTGATGATATCATTTTTGGTGCTACTAATAAAACTTTATGCAAGGAATTTTCTAAAGTTATGCAAGACCATTTTGAGATGAGCATGATGGGAGAGCTCACTTTCTTTCTCGGTCTCCAAGTCAAACAAACTAAGGATGAGATATTCGTTTCACAAAGCAAGTATGCTAGAGAATTAGTAAAGAAGTTTGGATTGGAGAACTCTAAGTATGCACCAACTCCCATGAGTACAAGTATCAAGCTTGATGCGGATGATAGTGGTGAGGATATAGACCAAAACCAACTCCCATGAGTACAAGTATCAAGCTTGATGCGGATGATAGTGGTGAGGATATAGACCAAAAACTATACCGAGGTATGATAGGTAGTCTTCTTTACCTTACCGCTAGTAGACCCGATATCATGTTTAGTATGTGTGCATGTGCACGTTTTCAAGCTTCTCCAAAAAAATCTTATTTGATTGCGGTTAAAAGAATTATTAAATATATCAATGATACAATTGATCTTGGTTTATTTTATCCAAAAAGTACCTCTTTTGATCTTTGTGGTTTTTATGATGCCGACTTTGCCGGATGTAAGGTAGATCGCAAGAGTACGAGTGGTACATATTAATTTTTGGGTAACTGTCTTGTCTCTTGGGCCTCCAAGAAATAAAATTGTGTTGCCTTGTCCACTACGGAAGCGGAATATATTACCGTCGGCTTATGTTATGCCTAACTTTTATAGATGAAACAAAGTTTAGTTGACTACGATTTGCATTTTCAAAACACAAAATTTTTTTGTGATAATACTAGTGCCATAAATATTTCAAAAAACTCTATTTTGCACTCTAGAACCAAGCATATTGATGTACGCCATCATTTCTTACGCGATCATGTAGAGAGGAAAGATGTATCCCTTATTTATATTGATACTAAATCTCAATTAGCGGACATCTTTACCAAGCCTCTTAGTGAAGAAGATTTTTGTCGCATAAAAAATGGTTTGGGTTTATGCATTATGTAAAAAGCTTTGCTTGTTTGCTTGGTTAGTTGAACATCCTATGCATTCATTTTCTAAATATGCCTAAACACATAAATTTACTAAGAGGAGTGTATGGGAGGACTGGGGTCAATTCCAAGAGGAGTGGGTTGGTTGTAATGCCTAGGAGGGGTCGTAATTCCAAACACTTGATGAATGTGACACGGGGAGGCCAACACTTGAGGTACATTTTATGTATTTTTGCATGTTTCTACCCATTTTTGATGTTGACAAAGGGGGAGAGAAATCTCCTCATTTGTGCACATAGTTAGGGGGAGCTCATAGATAGGGGGAGCTTCTATCTATAAGCTATATTTATTTTACTCCAATATAATGGTTGGTTGTCATCATCAAAAAGGGGGAGATTGTTAGCCCTTATGTTTTGATGATGATTTACAACCACCATTATCCGTACTAATTGCTTATTGAGTGATATTGTAGATAATATAAATATCAAGCCAGTTAGTACCACATATGGAGGATTGGATGGAATATGAGCTACAACGACGATATCTAAAGAAGGAGGAGGCAATGTGATGAAGCAATGTTTATTAAGAACACTAAACGCTATGAGAAGCTTCATCAACTCTAAAGCAATATCAAGACTCAAGAAATATATTTCTATGTGAGATATATTTGCTATTTTATTTTCTCTCTAGTACTTAAATGTAGGCAAGTAGTTGTAGATTTCATTTGAAGCTATTTGGGATATCACACACACTTGCACATTTTCAAAACTCGTATTTTGATACTTTTGTTAAAATGATGATTTTCATAAATACGAGGACCTTTTTACAAAATTCATTTTCAAACAAATTTGTCAAAATGTTTATAAACTATTCCCAAAGTTTTATATTTTTGGAATTTATTTACTATTTCTAATAGAGCATTGAAACTTATTTTCAAAACCATGTCAGGCTGATAACCTGTTATCAGTCGACTGATGTGTCGACTGAAGAAAGTACCTAGAATCATCAATAAGTCTATGTTCTGTTTTGGTCAACTAACCAGTCGATTGACGAGATCATCAGTCGACTGAAATGATCGTCAATCGACTGATGAGCTGATCGTTGCGTACGATTTTCAATGCTCAACAACCCCAACTGTAATGGCTGTTTTTGTACAGATTCAGAAATCCGATTTTTGGGGGATTTTGTCTGATTCTTTGGGGTTTTGGCTGCTGTCTTCTTTTCCTATAAATACCCAACAACCCCAACTACTTCAGATCCAAGCTTTTAATTGCAAAACTCTTGTTTTCAAGTTTATTGTTTTCAAAAGAGCTTCAACTTTCATCTTGTTATTTACTGTTTCGTTTTCACATCCCAAGCTTCAAGTGCCATCTCTCTTCTTGCCATAGAGCTACTGTAAAGAGAGAGACTTTCATGCGATTACTACTGTTGTAAGTGTGATCTCATGGAGATCAATTGTGTGGTTGTGAGATCTCGTGGAGATCGTTGTGTAGAAGAAGTTCCGGCTTCCAAACCGGGTTGTGTAGTGGATTTTCCTCGAGAGTGGGGAGCGGGGACGTAGGTCAGCAAACCGAACCTCGTGAACACATCGCGCGTCACTTGGATAACGATTTATAAGCTTATCTCTTTTACTTTGGTTTTTCATTTTGTGGTTTATTGCATTGTCTTAATTTTATTGCACAATTATTGCCTTAAGACCCTAATCACCCCCCCTCTAGGGTCTAACAATAAGTCTTGAAGTTTTAGGATTTTTGTGATATTTAAATTTTGAGGGAGTTTTTGTAGTTTATGTAACTTTGAGGTTATTTATTAGGATTTTTGTGATATTTAAATTTTGAGGGAGTTTTTGTAGTTTATGTAACTTTGAGGTTATTTATTATAAATTTTAAGTTTTTGAGGGAGTTTTTGTAGTTTATGTAACTTTGAGGTTATTTATTATAAATTTTAAGTTTTTAAGTGCCTAATGGTAATCCCTAAAATATATCTATGTTGTTTGTAAGTTTTGAAGTCACTGAATTTAGGGTGCTTTTTTCTAATTTGAACTTTTGAGGTTGTTTCTATAATTTTAGAAATATTGAGGGTGTAATTGTAATTTTAAATTTCTTGGGGGCTATTTTTAATTTTTAGATTTCATGTTTGCTATTTTAAGTTTTGAAAAGTAAGGGTGTTTTGGGTAATTTTAATCTTTTAAAGATATTTTGTGTAATTTTTGAATTAAGTCTTAATCTTATTTTTTTATTGCTAAGCTATAGGTAGTTCATGTGGGGTTAATATATGATATAATTAGTATTTAGATAGATTAAGATTTAAAAACTTTAAATAATATTTCACGTAGTTTGTTAAATATTTTTTAATTGTTGAGTTATAGATAGTTCACGTGAGATTAGATAAGACATAATTAGGATTATAATAGATTAAATTTAAATGTAATATTTATAATTATGAAGGGTAATATTGACCATAGAAAGATTTTTCTCAACTCGTGTTTTTAAAAGGGGTATAAGTATATGATAATTACAGGTTACTCTTACAATTTATATGATTTTTATTTATAATTTCAGACTCTAATAAACCAAATTTATGGTGGTTCAATTAATCACAAGCCGAATCCTTTTACCGTGCCGGTCTGTTTTACCTTGCTCCAACGACACGCATTGATAAGCCTTCCAGCAAGCAATCACAACTTCGTGTGCCGCTCTCCGCTCCGTTCCACTTCCTCTCTCCACCTCCACAGCTTAACCGGTACCATCTAGTAAGGACAACAACACTCTGATTTCGCCTCGTCGATCTTAATTCTAAGTTGCCAACGGGGAGAGAAGACACCTCTCTCTCTCTCTCTCTCTCTCTCCCTCTCTCAACTCCATTACCGACTACTGAGATCCAGATCTCGATCTCCGAGACCCTAAACCCCGACCGAAACCCTAACCCTAACCCTGGAGCAGCTAAAGACAATCGGGCGGGAGCTCGCCATGGGCTCCCAAGGGGGCTGGAACCAATCCAAGGAGTTCCTCGACCTCGTCAAGGCCATCGGCGGAGTCCCGATCCAAAGCCGAGGAGGATCGCATCGTCATCCACGAGATCGAAACCCTAAAGCGCCGCATCTCCGATCCGTCCCCCGCCGCAAGATGAAGGAGTTCATCATCCGCCTCGTCTACATCGAGATGCTAGGCCACGACGCCTCCTTCGGATACATCCACGCCGTCAAGATGACTCACGACGATTCGCTCCTCTTGAAGAGGACTGGTTACTTGGCGGTGACGCTGTTCTTGAACGAGGATCACGATCTGATAATTTTGATCGTGAACACGATACAGAAGGATTTGAGGTCGGATAACTACTTGGTGGTTTGCGCGGCGTTGACGGCGGTGTGTAAGCTGATCAATGAGGAGACGATACCTGCTGTGTTGCCGCAGGCCGCAGGTGGTTGAGCTGCTAGGGCATGGAAAGGAGGCGGTGAGGAAGAAGGCGGTGATGGCGCTGCACCGGTTTTATCAGAAGGCCCCGGCTCAGGTCAACCATCTGGTCTCCAACTTCAGAAAGGTATGGATCTTGGGTTCTTTTAGCTTATTGAAGACGCTGCATTTCCCAGATTTTGGATATATATTGCATTTCTTAAATTGAAGTGTGTAGGCGCCCTTGTTTATTGTTTAAATAAGCCCATGCACTTTTTTGTAGACTGGATGGTGTTTTAAGTTCTTATGATTTGTGAAAGAGAGAATTTCATGCTGAGCAAATTGAAACACTCACCTATACGATTTATGTAAGTATGCAATTCAGGTAAAATATCTGAGTATTGGAATCAAGAGATAATCCAAAAGGAGGTGCAAAGAAATCAAGGTTTTTTTTTTTGGTGGACATTGACCCATGTGCTAGAATACAGTCACTGAACTTCGATGGTAGACATTGATAATTTAAGAATTCTTCTCTATGTAGAATGGAGGTGGATTTTAATGCTAAGGACCAACATGTAGTGACCAGTTAGTAGCATAGATTTTATTGAAGTCTAGGAGGAATTCGAGGGAGAGAAGAGAGACTTCTCAAGTTTTCCACCCTTTATCTTTTGATCACGTGCCACATGGGGGATGAAGACGAACATATTTGCAAAAAATCTCACTAGCTAATATTCCAGTTATTGTAGTCTGTTTCATTTGAATTGTTTCAAACTAGGAAACCGAATTTCCCAAGTATAGACAATGTAAAGAACTGAACACCGAGTCCTTTGGTCCATTTGTTGGCTTTGATTGATTAATGCTCACTCGTAGGTATTAGGTAATTGTAGAATACGAGAAAACAACAGTGAAGTCTTTGAAACCCTTTTCTCTGTTTCTTTCTGTTGATGTCAGTCTCCTTTCTGAAACTGATCATGCTAATGGATTTATCTTGTACAAATTCCATTTGCAGGATTTTGCTGAACCCAATATAGTTATCACTGTCTTATGAAATTGAAAGACATTCTTTGAAGGTAACTATATGAATTATGGACTAGGAATGACATTGTTCTTAAGAACTTATTGGTAGATATAATTAAGGATGCTGGGATGAATATCAGCTTGGTTAAGATAGGACAAGAAATACATATCAATAAATAAGTTCAAATTTAAAAGTTGAAATACATATGATAAAGGTTAGAATATAGAATAAACAATCAATACATCCAACACGTTTGTCCAGGGGGGCTTATTGCTTAGAAGTTAAACCGCGTGAGCTGGTAACCAATTTAGATTTTGATGATTTACCTATCTCGGCTGTCAACGATACTGCTCGTATCTGTTTATGAAATAGAAAGATATGGAAAAAATATCAAGAAGACATTGCTTATCAATTACACTGCTTGTATATGTTTAACAGACTGTTAACCTCAGTGGGCAAAGCAATCAGTGTATGGTCATGGATGTACTGCTTTAGTTGCTTCTTTGTAAAGCAGTGTAGCAGGCATTACATCTCAAATGATTACAGTGCTATAACATATTTTATTTAGCACTGATCTTCATTACTAAATTGTTTCGAAGAGTCGAAGACTGATTCATTTACTTGGCTCTTTGCAGAGACTTTGTGATAATGATCCTGGAGTCATGGGTGCTACACTTTGTCCTCTTTTTGATCTCGTTATGGCTGATGTAAATTCGTACAAAGATTTGGTTGTTAGTTTTGTTAGCATTCTTAAACAAGTTGCTGAAAGGAGACTTCCGAAAACTTATGATTACCATCAAATGCCAGCTCCCTTCATTCAGGTATCATGATGATAAAGTTGTAATATTTTGCAAGTGAATTATGCTTTTGTCTGTCATGGTATCCTTGGTACTCGTCTATATCAAAATCAGTTCATTTTTTTATAACAGCCTGAGATATGCTTCTATTGAAATAAAAATCCCAAATATATTGTAGACAAAGGAAGATTTCGTTCTCAAGGAGGTGGTGAAGCCAACCAGTTAAAATTTTTAGTTTATGGAGAAATCCATCTTTGCAGTGGTTAAGATGTGTTCCTCTCATATTTTTAATCTTTTATCACCACTTTCCTTTGAGCTAGACACATCACCTAAAGCTGAATTGTTTCTCTCTAATATATTGGAGAGTATAAAGCAAAGAAGTGTATGTGCACATGATAGATTAGAGAGTAACTTAGATTAGATTATGTTAAATTTGAGTGAGGTTTTGTTGCTGCAAGGCACTGATTCTGATTGTTTATTTGGTTGCATGAAGAGAGGTGGATAGTAAAGAATATGTTTTATTTTGTAACAAGCATTGAGCTGATAAACTGTGGTAAATTTTCTCATAGTTGCACAACCATACATCAAGGTTGGAAACACCGGTTTATGTTTATCATATTTTTAACATGCCGAACTGACTGGGGCAAAATTGATATTGACTGATAATAACTAACTACTGGCTAAAATTAGTATAACAGGTAATGCATGAGGGTTTAGGTTTTATGCACACAACGTTATATCAAGAAATGTTTTTGAAAAAGAAACCAATAAAGAGGAAGCCTGTCATTAACTCAACTTATTCTGTGGATCGATGATTTTGCTCCAAAATTGTTAGAACCATTAAGATTTCCTATACTTATTACCGAAAATACAAACTAGAAGAACAACCTTCACCAAGATTTCAAACCTTGCTACCGATATAAAATCAGTAAGTTTCTGATTGATTTCTGCTAATATCTTCACGAATAATCTATGAAAGGTATTTTAAAGCAGGCAGAACGCTTGTTAGACAGTCAAGAGTTCTCATATCAACTATTCTATGCGCAATTGATATGTTGGGCTTTGCATAAGAGCTTGATGAACCCTAATCTGAATTCTATATGATATGCAGAATCTTAATGTTCCATAGAAACTTAATTTACCTTGTGCATCCAACATTAAGTTGCACACTCGTGGATCACAAGCTAATGGTGGTCAGATTGGAACCCCCTCAATTAATTATTAATTCATGTATTTGTGTGCTTCCACTGGATTTCACTTTGATTTGCCTCAAATGCTTATCCATCTTGAAATACTGTTTCCACCCCCTCACTGCTTGTGGTTAAAAACATCTCATGGCTTTCCCATTTTGTAACTATAATTTATATAACTGTACAAAGCAAGTATTTGCTTGTCATTTGTGCCATGATTTATGACTTTTTATCTTAATATGCATGAGTACTGGAGAAGAAAACAAACGTGTAGATATAGAAGCAACAGGGAAGATGAAGAATACTGGATGTAACTAATTGTTAGTCCTATAGAGGTTCAAACTTGATAAGAAGATATAACTAGTAACAATTAGCCATTATTTTCCAAGAAAACTACAGGGAATGACTATCTTATACTATCAAGACGGGTCAATATGGTGCTCAGTTCTAGAAAACATATTAAACATCATCCTTTTAGATGCTATGACTAGTGACTACCTTTCTACTTGGATTTAATCTTCTCTTGGCGATACCAAATCCTTTACTATTGAGGGTTTGTTCGTAAGTGGCAACGCTCATGAAAAGGTTAATATGAAAATGAAGAAAAAAACATTAATGGTCAAGTAAAATTCACCTCTGAAATCTAGCTATTTGAGAAAGGAAACCTAAATCTCTGGAAATCCACGTACTCATATAGTAACATGGAGCTAAATAGACCTTAAAAACCACCACGTTCCTGTAACTCTTATCCATGTGTCTACCTTTGTAACTATTCTAGTCTTGATCAAACACTCGCCACTTAAGCTTTGTGCTAGCGCTAAGCCAGAAAAATATGATTAGTCCATAGTTGCATGGAACCCAGTTCATTCCGGTTCACGGGATGGGTACGGGAGCATGATATGCCTCATAGTGCGAATCGATTACGAGGGGGATAGGCTTATACGGTGCACCATGGAACTTGGTGTGTTTTAGGTTCGGTTCTTAAATGTAGAAATCGAAGGTTTTGCAAGAGTTTAGTTTAAGAAATATGCTAATTGTTAACATTAATGGTAAAAGAACCTTGAGAATCATGTTGTCATTAAGGTAGGCATACTCTATTTGCTTAATTCCAAGTGTCATTTGTTGTTTAATATTTTGAAAAAGAGTTATTTTTCTCAAAATTTTAATTGGGTTGAATTCTAAATCGAGTCACTAGAATTGGGGAATTGGGTCGTTTTCTGCCACGAATCCAGGGCAATTAAACCCCGGTTGCGGTTCGCTATGGTGTCCCATGTTCCCAATTTCTATGGACTATTCTAGTGTCAATGCCCATGTAACACGATTGTGATTGATAGCCATAGAGTTGGGTCTGAAATTGTTTGTTAGAGACCTTAGACCTCAGTTGTCTAAGTTAGTCGGTGCAGAACGAAGTGGATCCTGTTGTATAACCATATGCTTTCACAGCCTTGACATCCATGCGGCCTGATTTTGCCCTAACCAAACCCAATCGAAGACTGTGATTTGGTGTCACCACTTGCACCAGACAATTGCAACCGGAAAGCATGATCCTGACTCTAATATCATTAGTTAGGGACCTTGGAGGACTTTCCCTCAAAGTCAAGCTTTTATGGAGCGAGTTCTCTTACATCCCTTATGAAAAATAAATTTTATCAGTTTAAGTTCCTTATAGGTTATTAGGAGTTGTCAATGTCAAGTATATAAGGAATGAGTATGAGTTGCCTATTCCATGGGAGGTCATATAGATTCTTCTTTCCCGGGATTATCTAAAACCAGTTTCAATTTTTAAGTAAAAATATTAGTATTGTGTTCTATTCTGTAAGGGGATTATTCATTCTATGGGCATGTGGTGTTTTTGTCCTATACCTTCTCGTGCATATCATATCTCATGAGAACATAAATCAGCCATGCATGCCATATTGCTGTTTCGAGTTGAGGACTTCACAGGCTGTGATAATCCCTTGCACTTGCTTTGGGATTATAACTAAATATCAATTTTCTAAATCACGGTTTCATTACACATTTGTTTTGCGAAACGTAGTCTATATAATCAGATCAGTGCCAATCAAATGGACTGCACAGAATATGTGTCAGAGAGATAGATTAAAAGGTAAAAAGTTGGATGGACGAATTTTATATCCACTTAACTGGATACTAGTTTAGCTCATAATATATATAACTAATATATTAAATGTTAAAATATCCAAAAAAAAAGAAACTAGAAAGTATATTCCATGATGTTTTCATCTAAAGTAGTCTTCATAAGGATGCTTGATAATTCTTAATTTGCAAACAATAAACAATAAAAAATCAGGATGCTCGACAATCAAAAGTTAGAAACCCTGTATCCTAGTTTGCAAGCAATAAACATTAAACAATATATAGTAGGTTTACTGGTCAGGTCGGTCATGGAAACAACTCTGGGCCTGAGCGAGGAACAACCAATTTGGTGTTTTGGTTTTGGAAGGTGGAAGAAAGAGGGAGGCGGCTGGTTTGGGGAAGATTTACTTTTCAGGGTCTTTATGCAAACAAGCTTGCGTTCGTAGGTTTAGGTTTTAGTTGATTTAGGTTTGACCCACATAATTTAGGCAGGGCCTACATAAAAGGTTTATGGAACTTATACAGGTTACCTTGTCAGATAACGGTCTATTATGTGTTTTGCTCATGTAATACACTTATTCCACCTAATTCACAACAGAATTGAGCTGAAGCTAATTATGCAGATGCATAAGTGGACATATAAGCTGCATTTTTTAACATTGTGAAAGTATATAAACCATAGAATGACGGAAATGATTATGCGTTTTGTCCGCACTATCTCACTCAATGTGGTTGTCACCTACATACCTTTTTTATGCAGCAGAACCATGTTTTTTAACACTAGGAATCTTGATCACGTGCTCATGTGTGGATCATAGGTGACAGACGCTTTTATTTTCATGTGGGGGAAGGATGACCAAAATTTCAGCTGGGTTCATTTCAATGCTTAACAAAGGCGAAAGGTCATATAGAAAATACATACAATATAACTCGACTGCCTACTAGTCTCTGTTCTTTTTTCCTTTAAATGATATGTATATTATGAGTCTCTATCTATGTCACCCGGTTACTTGTATCGTGAAGCCATACCTGTACCCGACACGTACCTGACACTTATCACCTAAACTTCATAGACAATCCTTGGATATATCATATATCCATACATTTATTCAAACATTCAAACATGTGCTCAATTATATGTTATATGTTTTAATTTCAAACACTTGTCAAACACTTCTTGGACACATCCATTTCTTGAAACTTGTTAGACACAGGTCGGGTTTGTTTCAGCCCATACGTTGGGTTTGTTTCAGCCCATACATAAGTTCAAAGCTATGATTTTAAAGGGTCGTTTGGGTGTCTAGTTCAAATACAAATAGCTTCCAATTTATAATAATAAACATAACAGAAGAAACTTAAAAACATGATAGAAGCTTTAATTATAATGACACATGAAGTAAAAAAACAATACTGATCTATATAAATTATTAATCTCAATATATATATGTAGCACTGTCCCCGTACCCTACATTTTATAATTTGTTGTGCCCCATACCCGTACCCGTACCCATACCCGTACACATTTTCATGCAACTTAGTTCTTTATTGAGCATAACAAAGAAAAATATTTGTTGGCTACTCAGTGTTTCAAACAAAGCCTGGAGGTTTTTCATTTGTGTGATGTTATGATTTCTTATTTTGATTTCTTTTGTTGGCTTTATTATGTATGTCTTTGTTTAACGCGTCTTTTCTTATTAACCAGTTGGAACTAGGTAGTCATTTCGCTGCGTTTACTTTGTTATTTGCAGATAAAGTTGCTAAAGATTCTTGCAGTGCTTGGAAGTGGTGATAAACAAGCAAGTGGACACATGTATACTGTACTGGGTGACATTTTTAGGAAGTGTGAATCATCAAGCAACATTGGAAATGCTGTGATTTATCAATGTATATGTTGTGTTTCTTCCATCTATCCCAATCCTAAATTACTAGATGCAGCTGCTGGAGCAACTTCAAAATTTCTGAAGGTAATCATATTACAAACCTCTGCTTAGTCTTGTATATTTTCTTGCTAGCTTTAAGTAGTCATGACCTTTAAAGTAATTTTTTTTCTTCCTTTTTCTATATGTTTTGGGTTTTTGAAACTTTTGTTTTCTGCACTTCCCTGTCCGCAGAGTGATAGTCACAACCTGAAATATATGGGCATTGATGCACTTGGTCGTCTGATAAAAATAAGTCCAGACATTGCCGAGGAACACCAGCTTGCTGTTATTGATTGCTTGGAGGTAAGGGCTACTATAACATATTGTTTCTGGAGAACGTGTTTGCTTTATGAGTATCGAGTGAGCTTCATGTTCATGTTTGTATATCTTCTTTTAGTTACTTTCTGCCATCATCTTTTTGGATCTAGGATATGTGATTTGATGATCAAAAGTATCTGATGTAACCCCCACCCTCCCTGAATGTGATACTGACAAAGTTATTTTTTTTAAATTTATTTTCAGAATTTATAAAGGAGAGTATTTGAGAATTATGGAAGATTACTGTAGTTGGATGAACTATCTAGCACAAGCTGATGTTGTCATACTTCCTGTCACTATTTTGCAAATAGCCCTAAGAAAAACTTATTAGTACAGCAGTTAATATAAAGTAATGAGTTGTTAGCAATCCAATTCCCTTATTGCCTGAGTATATTACATGTCTGAATATTAAAATTCTAGACTAAGCTATAAGGAAAGAGGAGAATCAGCTTTAGTTCATCAACTTCTTCATGGAGGCGTAGTAGAGATTGATCAGGTCTATTTAAGGTAATAAATCGAGCAGACATCAGGGATATCCGAATCTGATTTTTGATCTGGCATCCAAAGTTCAAGCTGGTATTGAATAAATACTGAGTGCATGAACCGAGTTCAGATCTGATTCAAATTCCGGTATTATCTGAATCCAACAATATATTGGATATGTGGATAGGACAAATGTACCATCTTAATATCATCAAATATGCTCTCTCCTTACTGACTACCTATTGGATTCTTGTGGCACTAAGGATGATGGGCTTGGGTTGCTTTTTTTGGTCTAGAAGAGATCCAGGTTGGGAGAAGGGGAAAAAGGAAACCTAACTGGAAGAAGCAATAAGATAAAGGAGGATGGATGAGGGAAGCTAATAAGGGGCTTTGTCGCGAATGAGATTTTTGTTGTCAGCAGGGGGTGGCCTGGTGGGATTCGGGGAGATGGAGGAAAGGAGGTCCATCACAGTGTTAAATAATTATGAGGATAATGGTCCTTTCATTGTTTATAATGACTGAAAGCTGCCCAGTGACTGGTGGATGAGATGCTATATGGTAAGTCACAACTTCAAGCGTAAATCTGCAATAGGATCACAATAATATTGAGATATATGCTGGATTCTTCTTCTTCTTCCTCCTATCCTTCTCGATCAAGTGTTTTTGGACTCTCTTAAGGCTTTGTCCACTCATCATCATTAGCAGCAACTTCCATGATTTCTGCACAAAAATGAGAATGCTTATAGAGAAGACCTTGCAGTCGATAGAGCCTCTACGAAGACCTTGGCCTATCATCCCTGATGTCAACAGTTTCTTACCAAGGATGCTTTGAGCAAGTGGGTTTATTTTGTTCAAAGTGCATGAAGGCTAGCTAGCGGGTAGAAGTCCTATCTTCTTTCCATGCAGTTTACATCCACACAACCAAAGCTTGCTCCCAAAGTCCCCTAGTCTTGGTAAGAATTAGGTCAAAGTTGTAAAATTCCTGCTAGGGGATTGGCGTTATCTTTACAGTATAAAGCTCCAAAATTTAGTCAAATTTCAAATTGGAGGATTTATACATTGCGAACAATTTGATTCTCATGGTAAAGCCATAGTAATATTAAAGTGTCTTTTTATTAGGGCTTATATGTGTGTTAACTTTTATTGTCTTCATCCTGTTTGAGTGAAAATCACATGTTTGAGAATATAGATAACATAAAAACATAGCAGTAACCTGCCTTTGTAAAGCTTTAATACTATATGCCTTTGTATTAAACCACTTAAAAGTATGACAATCTGTTTACCGATCCTTTTCTTCTTGGGATTTTTGCGTTCTACACAGGATCCTGATGACACTCTGAAGCGCAAGACATTTGAACTGCTTTACAAGATGACCAAGTCCACTAATGTAGAGGTCATAGTTGATAGGATGATTGATTACATGATAAGCATCAACGACAATCACTATAAAACTGAAATAGCCTCACGCTGTGTTGAGCTTGCTGAACAATTTGCACCGAGCAATCAATGGTTTATCCAGGTAGCAACTAGTACTATGTTCTTTCCTTGTTGCTTGTAATCATATCACACTGTTGGTTTATGCCTTGGTTTGTGTCTGATGATCCACTGACAAATTTCCTTTCTCAGACCATGAATAAGGTCTTTGAACATGCAGGTGATCTTGTTAATATTAGAGTGGCCCACAATTTAATGCGGCTACTTGCTGAGGGATTTGGCGAGGATGATGAAGGTGCCGATAGTCAACTGAGATCATCGGCTGTATGTGCCTCTGATTTTGCTTGGTGACCTATTTTTGCCTGTAATTTATCTGTCTTGCATGATATAAGAGTTGTGCCATGCTATATATCCTTTGAAGCTACTCGATATAAAGCACACTACATGGCTTGGTATCAAATTGGCTATCCTTCCCTAAATAATTTTTTTGACTAGGTAGTCACATTTGACTTAGATATTTGATAGACAATGATCAAATTGACAAGCTCATAGTCATGGATTAAAGCATCACATGGGAATATGGTTCATCACTAGTCAAATGCATTATATGATCTTTGATGTAATTGAGTATAGTGATTCAGTGCTACAACACTTTTCCAATAGACATAAAATTTGTGAAATTCTTCTACATTACAAAAATGAATGGGCTTGTTTGTAAATTATTTAATCATGATTCATGATTAACACTAAAGTTGCGACCAAGACACTAATGGAGGTGGATTCAAAAGTTATTAGGAATTTACTTAGCGAGATATCACATGCGTCATTAATGTATAATCATTAAACTCATTGCTCAGAACTAAAGCATCAAAGTAAAAAAAAATGGTAATCACAAGTCAATTACACCATATGGTCTGCGAGGATCGATGACTGACTAGTAATTCAATGCTATAACACCTACCTGTTATGCTATAACACCTGCCTATTAACTAACATTTTGCAAATGTTGAGTTTCTCTAATTATATTAGCCTATTAGGTGATTACAAAATAGAAAATTTGTCTATGCTTACTGAAGTAAAAATGGTGATACCCATCTAGGGTATGGGTAATTACACAACTCCCGCAGATAAAAGCTACAGAACACAGTAGAAAAACATGTTCATTGGATGAGGTATTGCAATATGAGGTCTTCTCACATGTTCATTGGATGAGGTGTTGCTCTCTTAAATATGATTAAACGTGGAGTTCTTATCAGATCTTTAGTTTCAGGATGGTAGGATACTAATGCTAGTACCATAATTTATGTGACTAAATCAAAAATTTCTTGTGTAATGACAATGATTATAAATATTATTTCAGTTATATGAAAAATATGAACAACTTCTAATTCTTGGTCTTTGTGAGTTTTATCAGATTTTTGTCTAAATTATTGGTGATTGTGGACATCTGTTAATGTTAAAGCTTGAAAAAATAGTGACACTATCTTCTAGAATCTATATAAGTCATTCCTTTCTGTTAATGAATGCATTTTATCCATCATTTTGCGTCATGATAAGAATACTGCAAGGTCAATCCCCTCTGTGCTGTGCATGCACGCACATAAAAACACATGGAAAATGGAAACCCAGAAAATTAGCTTTTATTCTCCTATTCCCTTTATTAAAAGACTTGTTAATTTTAAGCATGCAATTGCTCATAGTGAACATTTGTATTCCTTTTGTTTCACTAAGATACTTAGTATTTCAAATCCTAAATTCATTCTTTCTTTTGTGGTTTTCACGTACTGCTTTATTTTGCTTTTCTGCAGGTCGACTCATATTTACATATCATTGGAGAGCCAAAGCTTCCGTCTGTTTTTCTGCAAGTACTGTTTTTGTTCTCTTGCATATCTGTGATTATTATTTATCTTCATGGGGGCAAATTATGCGATTTGTATACCTTTGCAAATGTTTCTGAATATGTCATGCTAAAGTGCAGGTAATATGCTGGGTTCTCGGGGAATATGGAATAGCAGATGGGAAGTATTCTGCTTCTTATGTAATTGGAAAGTTGTGTGATGTTGCAGAGGCCCATTCAAGCGACAATACAGTAAAGGTATTGTTAGATAGCAGTAGTTTATGACCTTTAATGGTTTCCTGGATGGTTCTAGTCTTCCATTGATTGTGTGTGGGTGTGCGCGCGTGGGGATGTGGGTGGATGTGTGGATGTGTGGATGTGCATGCGTTGTGCATCACACACGCATGTACCTATTTATCTATATTGAAGTGAACATAAACGTGCTAGTCTGTGAGAACCTTTGCATGCATTACCAATTTCAATCTATGTTTGCCACTTATTGCCATTACGGTCCTGCAACTACAGTTTAAACCTGGGCGTGCATATTTTTCTTTAACACTTTTTTTCATGATTTTCTTCTCTACTTTAATTATGAGGGAGAGTGCTCAACCTGTAAAGATGCTCATCAAAGTTCTACCTGTTAGAATCTAATGGTAGCGGTAAGGTTGGAGTGTCCTTTCATTTGCTACCTTTTGTGGAGGAGACTATGATGAACTACTACGTTTTTTTTTTGGACCTTTAGCATGATCAGGAAAAGTGTATCACTGCAAAGAAAAATAGATTTGTGTCAGCTTATTTCAGCTTGTATTGTTGATTCAAAAAAGATTTGATGAAAGCCAGAAGCTAGTGCTTTTGGACATAATTACCTGGTTCTTACTACGTTGATCTAACAATTTAAGCTTTTTGGTAAGTTTTATATCATGCTTGTAAATAGTGTTCAGCATACATGTTTATATTTATCAGCAGTTTACTTGATTCTTCAAAGTTGTAATACTAGATTTGAGGTTCCAGATCAAAGAGTAGACCATTTGAAGCTAGTTATGTATATCTATGTGATGCCACTCCAACTAACCAGGTTCACCTATTCGGGCATACACCATTGAGATTTGTAGTTTGGAACCAAGTAACCAACAACTTCCATACAGATGTGTGTGCATACCAAAGACGAAATAGGGGAGCATCAGGCGGTTATTTTCCCATATCCCCCTCCAATGCTAAGTCAGTATCTTTTTGGAAAGGAGACAAAGGAAATTTGGTGTTTCGTGTATGTGTAGCTCATGTGAATAGTGGTTGACTTGTAGATAGATCGTCACCATATTTCTTCTGGATTTCCCTTTTCTACTTTAATTATGAGATTTTAGTTCGGTTCACTCTCTGCATGGGGGCAGGCCGATCTGGCCTGTGAACAGTGCCATCTACATCGGCCACACGGGCCTGACCTCGGTCTGGGCCAAAACCGAACCAGTCCTGGCGCATCACCATGCCATTTCAGCTCAGTTGCCACTGGTACTTGCATGGGTTCATTTATTGGACGCAACCTTGGATCTTGTTCTAAATTGTATGGCCATGCAAAGTTTGCGGACATTCAAAACCTTTGGCTAAAAATTTTTCCTGGTTTGTTTCACTGAAAAGAAATGATATAAGTTTAGTTAAACAACCTGCTAATGCTTGTTTACCATAAATTTACTTAATTCTTGTTTACCATAAATTTACATGTTGGACCCATCTTAAAATATGATTATGTTAGTTTAAAATGGAGGGATAATTGTATAGGTTATGGGGTTTGCACGTATTAGTCAATAATTGGGGTTTGCATGTGAAGATGAGCAGCTACAAGAAGGATAAGTGGGTTTCAACCATAGTAATTTCCTGCAAACAAGAGAGTTGCTGGAGCAATAATCAACTGCGATATTACCATTTTCAGTGTGAGGTATTGTAAATTAATTGGATGTCTCACATGTATTTCTACAAAATAGATATCAGTAGTTCAATAATTTATTTTTTGGTTGATGATTTCCGCTTGTAACTATGGATTACTGTTCATGTTGATATGCATCATTTGATCTACTGTACCTCTACATCCTGTAGTCTTTTATAGAATGTTCTGTTAACTTGTAATCCAAAATGATGTGTTGATCAACATGCATTGATCGATTTTGCTTGAGGTGCTATGTTATAAAGGTGTACTTGTAGCTGTGTCTTTAAACTTGACTTTTAGTTATCTTTCCACTTATTTACTTTGAAGAAACATCAGTAATTTATAATTGCATTAATTTTTTTTCTTCTGTTAAAAACGCTTATGCAATAACAGCCATCATGAAAATATTTGTATTAATTTTTTTTTTCTTTCTGTTGAAAAGGCTTATGCAATAACAGCCATCATGAAAATATTTGCGTTTGAGATTGCTGCTGGAAGGAAAGTGGACATGTTGCCTGAGGTAATTTCTTTAGGATAGTTATTGGAAATTTCCATTGTCTCTTTGTATAACTTTTTGCTTTCCTCTTTTCATCTCTTATGCTGGTGCGTATTATAACTTTTACTTTTCTGGAAATGAAATTGCTCGTGTGTTTGTTGAAAAGCAGAACAAATGGTGGTTATATTGCTTTAATTTTTAAAGTCATGTTCAATTCACTTGCTTTCTTAGCGTGAAGACCTCTCGTTCAGAATGTGATGTTTTCCCTTTCATTGTTGTGGAGTTCAGCACGAAGCCAACATAATATATTCAATAAGTAATGACATCTATATTCCTTTTCCTATACTCTATTGCAAAAGGCTCAAGTTTCTTCCAATTGGTCATGGTAAATGTCCCTTCCACTGCACAAAAGCTCCAAAGTTATGATGAGGGTTAAGAGCTATAATTGTATAACATGCCCGCACAAGTTGACAGCCCTTTTCATGGGCAGAAACCTGGACTTACACATAGATCATCTTTGTTCCTTAAATCAAGCTAAAGTTCTTGCTTGTGGATATGAGTTGCTCTTGTACCAGGTTAAATATCCCTTCCACAGATCGAACCTCTGAAGTTAAGATGAGGGTTAAGGGTTAAATTTTTAAACAAAATGGTTCCCTCTTTTGTTGCTGCTTCTTAAATTTCGTTCCTCTAACCATTACACCAAAACTCCGAAGTTATGGTAAGGATTGAGGATTATAGTTTTATATTAATTCTAACATGCCCTCGCAGGTTGAACGCCCTTTTTTATGGGTCGAAACCTGGACTCACGTAGCGGTGTTAATTTTTAGAAAATCCACATTTAATTCGTGGCCGGTGGGATTTGAACCTGGGTTGTTCTGATACCATCTTAAATTTCGTTCCTCTAACCATTACACCAAAACTCCGAAGTTATGGTAAGGATTGAGGATTATAGTTTTATATTAATTCTAACACTGCTTTTAGAGACCTTCCCTTCGTTTTTGTTTAATAAATTTCAGGGCTTTCCCATGAAACACCCTGAACTTTGTTTACTCCACTAAACACCCTGAACATTGGGATGTCTCACATGACCCCCCTAAACTTCCAACTATTCCTAATGGATCCCCTATCTGTAAATGGTGACTAATTAAAATGTTCTCGAGTGAAAAGCCTCAATTTAGTCATCTCTCATTACAGACAATAGATCCTCCCTGCAATGGGGGTTTTGTCTCTCAAGGATATATTTAGTTGTTTTCCATTTATAGATAGGGGATCCATTGGGAAAAATTAAAAGTTTAAAGGGGTTATGGTGCGACCCTCTATGTTCAAGGAGGTGGGGTTTGTGGGCGGGGCGGGGGGTCCCTCCAGAAATGCAGGACCTTCTCAAGTATACTCCAGTCTTAAGTTGAATCATTTTCTTGCTTGTCTAATTGCATATATAATAATATACATAAATGTGGCAGTGTACAACCGTTCATCAATTCATTCATATAAAATTAGTTACTTTTCTGTTGTGAAGTCAGTTGCTCGTTTTCTTCCAACCTACCACGAAGTGAAAGTCTTTTAGCAGATTTATAACTTGTAAAATGATTAATCTCTTGCAGGCCTACATTTTTTTTATTTTTGAACTGGCAACTCATCATTTGGTAGCTGACAAGCTGTATTAGACTGCCATCTCTCAATATACACATGATCATTATTAGAATGAAAGTGTATAAAAATACATTTGATTGGTTTACGTAGTTTATGCTAAATATATTTTTATAATGCTAACTTGCTTGCAATTTGTCACAGTGTCAATCATTAATTGATGAACTATCAGCATCTCATTCAACAGACCTGCAGCAGCGTGCATATGAGCTACAATCCTTGTTGGGCTTAGATAGAGGTGCTATTGAGACTGTAATGCCATCAGATGCTAGTTGTGAAGACATTGAGGTTAATGCACACCACTTGGTCCTTTTGTAATTTTAATTCAAATTTACATATCTTATCATGTTCTTACTATTCATTGGTCTTTTCTCTTCATGTTTATTATTTTTTTCCACATTGAGAATGTGCTATAGTTAGACGAAAGGGTTCAACAAATAGTCATTGATTCACTAAAGTATTAACTGTAGTGGTGGTTTAGGCTTTTTTTTATGTGTACTCATGCTGCCTTATGAGGCTATAGTTGATTCCTTGGATTTGCGCAAAGTCAACAACCGGACTATCATGCTTAGAACCTCAGTTCAACTTCGGTTCAGGGTTTAATCTGCGTTCTATCTAGGTAGATTCTTATTTCTCAAGCGAGAATCAGCTTAGGGTGGCTTGGGAATGTTGTGCAAGATAATATAGGTTTCCTGTTATTTTCAGGGCAGTATCATTGGGTTTGAGCAAGAT